CTGCAAACTCCTCTACAACCAGAAAGGAAACCATTTACCTTCAAAGTAAAAGCAGTGCACTTTTGAAATGTGTGAAATGCAATCACAGTGAGGTTCTCGATTGAGTTCAGTTTGCGACTGCCAGCCACCTTAAGCAACCACATGCTAACCGATCAGGAAATGCACACTTTTCCATAACAACAGTGGTTTTCAGGGGGTCACTGACTGAGTTCTTAGTAAAAAGCAAAGACAAACACGTACGCATTATTTAAATGTGTTGCAGCACTGACAGATGAGAAAGGAATAGTTTGGTATTTCTTGCATTCTTGCTTGGATTTGATTACAAACGTAGTTTAAAAATCAGTGATTTAATATCTGGTGCTAATAAAATTCACAATTCCTGGCTGTTCATGTCAGTGTTAATGTGTTAAGTTGCAGTGTTGTAACAGTTATTGCCTCTGGTCAATGTTCCTGTGTGCTCGTGGGTGTCAGTGCTAAAGCTGGGGTCGAGCGGTGTACAGAGCAAAGGCATTGCGAATAGTTAGTTAGTTTTCTGTCTCGCAACTCTTTCTTCCACATGGGTTTGCAATAATAGGGTCAGAAGTGGGATTGATGCTTAGCCTGAAAATTGGATAGAGCGAGATCCAGATTCTCGAACGAGCTATAGAGCAGAACTTTTGGCATCTGGAAAACCTGGCACTAAAGCAAGCTGAGCGGGCCAGTGATGCGAATTTTCCGTCCCACCCTGTTGGCTGCAGTGCACTGCAGCTCATCACTTAGTGATCGAGAGGACAAGTGAAACTCTGCCACATTCCTTCAAATTCAACAAAAATGGGTTGAAATCAGATTTATGAATGCTCTGCATCCACCAGCAGACACATAAATATGGTGACACTCTGTTCCCACACTAGGTTGTTTTATGCTTTATTTTTTAGCACTTCTACCACTTCCTCGGCCAGCCAAACAGCCTGGCAACCCTTGACCTCTCCAACACTGATTGCTTATTGGACCAGGTGAGTGAGTCAAAATGAAACTGGACAAAGGAGCTAAATAGATAAATGGTTAAAGAGATGTCTGCTTCATTATTATACCGTAGTGATTCGCATTTTTGGTAAACAGACCACACAAACCTGCAGAGTTACTTACTGCAAACGAGCAACGTTTAATTAGAGTGAAATACTCGCTATTAATGTCTGTGTTTCAGGCAGTGTAACCCACTCAATCTGTGTTGCTGTTGAGTATATGTAAAGTGGTGTAATACTGTATGTGAAGTATTGATGTGGGTCTAAGAGCCAAACACAGTTTATTGATTAGTTTGAGGTGTAGCAAGCTGTCATCCAAAGAAATTATTGATTCTCTTGCAAGTCATATTTTTTTTCTCTCCCGTGTACCAATAAATCTAAATACATTCATGCATCTCAAAAACAGCTGCAATGAAAACTATTGCAACTGATTGATCTTTTTATTATGTGTGTTCCAGGTTTGCTCAGCACTGCTGCGGGGCTCAGTTGAACACCTCTCTGTTCTCAACGTGTCAAAGAGCGTCTTCCCTCACAGGTAAAAAAATAAAATAAAATACAAATCTGGGTTTTACTAACTCAGACCTGATGAGGAGGAAGTCATTTCTAATGTACTGTATTCTGTATTAGATGGTCTGTCATTGAAGAGCAAATGTGTATGATTTTATGAAAGTACTGCGCATGCTACAACTGAAGGTGTATAAACAAATGCCCAATAGACCAAAACTTCAATGTTCTTTAGTTTCATTTTTAATGATGGTGTTTAATCACAGCTTTACAGCATCAGCACCATTGTTATCCCTAACCTGTAAAAGGCTGATGGGACATTGCTGTAACCCTGCCGGGTGGGCAGACAACATGGACAGCCAAGTTTGTGAATGCAAGAACTCGAGAACAAGGCAACGTAGGATTTTGAAATTCATAACTTAGAGGTGCATCTATTAAAACTCTTGGAAAAGTTTAGGTCAAGTTTCCTCTGAAGATTTTGTGAATGTGATAACTCCAGGAGGTAGTAAACTAGGGTTTTCAGATTGATGAAATTGGTGCAACTACCAGGAGGCTGAGGATAACACTCAGTTGTTTGTTTTTTGTTATTACTAACAATCAGTATTACCGATTGTATTGAATTTGGGGTTAACTTTGTGTGTGATGGTTAGCTCTGTTTCCTCATACAAGAAGCTTTCTGGTTGGATGTAGCTGCTTCTGTGTGGAGTTGTTGTTCTTCCTCTGGATCCACGTTTCTGCCTCTTCCTGCTTTCAGTGTTTGTTAGCCCTGGAACTGCTTCTTATTCAATATAAACCCCCTATGACTGTCTGTGCGTGGATATGCAGTGGATGGGTGGACTAAATTACGTTTTGTTCCAGTTGAAACTGGTGGCATGTGTGTAGTTTTTTAACAGCTGCATCTTTTTGTGAAATAATAATGAGGTAATCATGATTAACTTGCTTGGATAGAAAATATACAGGAGGATAGTAATTTTTGTTTTCCATGATGTGATAGTGGAAGATGGGCTTTGACCTGGAAGAGTCACTCATTGCTGTTAATACAGCACCCACTGAGGCTAATGTTTGATTCTCCTTTCTGTCTTTATGTATAGGAGTACTGGCTGAATCAGTCTTTTATTTATAAGGGTCTGTATGTTGATGTGTGACACCTGCTGGTAGTCAAGTGTCATCACATCTATGTGAGTTCAAATTCTGTGAATTTGCACTTGATTGTTGAGATTTTGTGACTGGCAGATGGGTGAGTGGTGGAGCTTTTCCCCCCAGTGTATCTCAAAGGAGTCGAGGACTTTATCAAAAGAAGAGGTGGAGGGTGGAGGGGAGTGAGGATTGGGTAAGCAGAGTAAGGTAAAGAGGACCTGACTATAGCATGTGGAAGAAGATGGAGGCTAGTGAAGTGTAAGGAAGAGCTGAGCAACTAAGCACTTCCAACTAAGAGTTGCAGTATATGTGGGACCCATCTGTGCTGCTTGATTGGTAGAGCTACAACTCCTTATCTGAAACATCAGATAAAGTGGGTCATGAGATTTTAGAGTAGTACAATCTTAATGTTGTCATGAATGTCTTCTGCATTACTGATCCTTTTGCTGGTACCACAAAAAAGCGAGGAAGCAAGCTTGTAAACTTAGTGAAATTCTATCCGATGTTGACTCTATGTAGTGTCATTATTTCATCCTTATTCTCTTTTTGTTTCTGTAGGAAAGGCAAAGACGTGCCCCCGTCCTTCAAGCATTTCTTCAGTAGTGCCGCATCTCTCACCTCCATCAACGTGTCAGGAACCAAGCTGCCACCAGAGGCTGTGAAGTGAGACAGCGATTCATTCACTTTTAATGTGTCTGAGGGCCTCCTTCCAAATTCTCAGAGCCCATTTTGAAGCATAGATGCCATTTAAATGCCGCTTGTCTCGTCAGCCCTACAATGACTAGCTCTGAGTTTATTGTTTTCACTGAAAGTAGTATTACATGAATTATATAAAAAAAAATATAGAATTTGAATGAAGGCCATCTGGTCTTACTTTCTCCTTACTTTTAAAATTATCTCATTTTTCATGTTTTGAATTATAAATATGTATTTTTAACTGGAAATAATGTCATTACTGTAGAGCGCTCCTACTTGGTCTGGCCAGTAACCCAAGTGTGAAGGATGTCTCTCTAGACCTCAGCTGCTGTGAGGTAAGATGCAGAGAGTGCAGTGCGTGCAGGGCAAGTAGGGAACTGGGAACTTTCATGGCACATTTGCAAAAATAATATATTTATTATTTAAATAGCCATTTATTTACTAACCAATGAGACAAGTCATATTTAGCTGTAGTTTTGTTTCTGTAAGTGTGCTTCCAAGCTATCATTTAAGAGCGCTTTTTTTAATACTACTAAAAAAAAAGCGCAAAAAGATGATACTCGTCCAATGCAATCGGCTTTTTAGGATCCACTCAAAAACCATTTGACAGGCTAATGATGCTGCATAATGGAGTACTCGACAGACAACAGGGAGGGATAAAAGGCGGAGAGAGGAACAGTGAGAGGGAAGGGTGAAGTTTGAGTTGGGGATTTGGGATGTGGGGTCAGTTTCCAGCTGTAGTTGTTCTGCCGTAACTCTCAAACACACACATCAGCCTTCACCTTCCCCTGCTCCAAAAAGAGAAAAGACAGCTCTCTGCAGATTTATCTTGATCGCTAAAGATGGCTCATAACAGATTACCCAGGAAATCCGAATCCAGATCCCCACAGAAACCTTCCCAAACCAAAGCTTTTTTGGGGGGAAATGACGCAAGCGTCCCTTTTCAATGCCTTAATGAACCGTTTGGTGGGGGCGGACAGAATCTGTTGTCTGAGTGCGATCGCAGCATGCAAAATAAGGACTCCCCGCTGAGTGTGTTGCATGTGCAAATGCGTGTCTTTGATAAGTGAGTGTGTGGCCAGAAGAATGCTCATTAAGCATCTGTGTGTTTTGTTGTTGGTAATTGCTGGCTTGCTTTTGACATGCTGTTCTCTCCCTCTAATGCTTCTGTAAGCTTGGCCATTGTGTAAGTACTAATGCGCTCACTCTTAATAATTAACACGTCATTCTTCCTTTTTTCATGTGCACGTTTGGCTTTTTTTTTTTCCTGCTGATCTTATGCTTAGTGGAGCTTTTTTCCCCTCAACATTTTGCATTAATTAAAAGCTACAGTTGCTCTGAATGATCTGTGCAGCTATTTTAAAGAATGTGCATTAAGTCATAGTAAATTGGATGTGTGTTACTTGTTACTTGTGTTACTTAATCCTATGCAGATGTTTTGCATTTTGTAATAAAGGAAATTTTAGGAGGTGCACAGAAGCTTACATTTTTGTTGTGTACTTGAATATATAGTTGAATTTTTTATGAAGCATTCAATCCTTTGTGGAAGTACTGTGACCTTTTGTGTTCATATTTTCCAGTCACAGTGCAGGATTTGTTTGTTTCAGATGCTTGGCGGTAAAATGAACATATTACCACAGTTTGTTTTCCTGTGCTTTCAGCTGCGGTCTGGAGGATCTCAGATCCTTGAAGGTTGTATTGCTGAGATCCCAAACATCTCCAGCCTGGATATCTCTGACAACGGTGAGATGCTGGTGATCATGCTTATTGTAATCTGTATTTACTAATCTCAAAGCAGAGGTGTAATACAGTACAACATATACCTTTCATTTTCAGGATTAGACTCAGAGTTGTCCACTCTGCTTGTTTGGTTGGCCAAGAACCGGTCTATCAGACACCTCTCTCTGGGCAAGAACTTCAACAACATCAAATCCAAGTAAGGATGCAGCAAAGGAGGAGGTGGTGTCGAGCTGTTGTGCACAGCTTGGAGCTTGCACTGAAGTCAAAGGCCAGGATTGAGTTTTGTTCTATATCCTGACTTGATTCTGGGAATAAAAAATTACAAGCAATGAAGAAATTAGGCAAGGGTTGAGTTTAAAAGCTCCAGTACAAATCATTGAAGTCTGGCTTTTCCTCTTAGCAACTGTTTGTTTACTATTTATTAGTATTCTGTGAAGGTGAACAACCAGATATGTAAGAGGATTTACACAAAATGTCACTAGGCTGAAAAAAATCATTTTATAGTGTTTATATACTTTTTCTTCTGTCTGCTTAGAAATCTCGCTCCAGTGTTGGACAGCTT